GCAAAATATCCTTAAGATTGTTGGAAAAATTTGGATGATTATGGAGAATAAAAGGTTTAGCTTGAGGCGTGTCAAGGACACTGTCCTTAAGGATATTTCGCCCACACAGAGATGAATAATATTAGGCGTATCCCCCAGGATTCAACAAGCTCTTCTAGTATAACTAGGAGCAGAAACAACAAATATTAACGAAAAGAAAACCCAGCACAAAGAAAAGGGAAGAAATTTTTTAGCTTTGTTATGTTCACTCTACTTTTTCAAAGATAAAAAACTACAAGTATATATATACTCCAAAAACTTTACAATATGAAGGAACAATACGTTAACAATCAAAACAAGCCATTAAAGCTTTCTGTTACAAAATTAATCCATAAAGACCAATACGTTAACAAATGATACTAATAGCTATCATTTAATTGTCAGTTTTCAATATATGTTAACAAAGCAATCCATAAAAAGCAATACGTTGACAAATGATAGTAACGTATGATAACGTACAAATCCATACTAATGAGTATTTAATTGTCTAATTTATTTTGTCCCAAATTGAATTCAAAATTAAACTAATTTTCTGTTACAAATATTTTTAAAATAATTACTATAATGATTCATTAATATAATAGTAAGAAAATGAATCTAGACATAATTTTAGAATATTTCTTTTTGAGATATCAAAAGTATTTTTCTATCATAATCTACTTCTCAAACCCATTCCTTTGTAGTTTGACCAATTATAGACTCAAGACAATGAGTATTTATAGAATTTAGCTTGTTTGGCCAAGCTTGTAGAAGGCTAAAAATGATTTTTTTAATGAAAAATAGTACTACTTTTTAAGATGTTTGATTAGGGGTTGGCATCGGTCGGTTCGGTTCGGTTATGAATATTATCGGTTTAGCATATCGGTTATCGGTTTACAAATTTGATAAACCGATAACCGAACCGACGAGATATCGGTTATCGGGTATCGGTTAATCAGTTATAAAAGAGAAGAATTCACATATATATAGTATATTAAAGACTTACACTAGGAGTAACTAGTAAGGTCTACGAAGAATGAAGATGAAGCAACTGAAGAGTGGGGTTGAGAAAGAATAGGAGAGAATGAACTGAAACCCTAGCATTTGTATATACTTAAGGATAAAGTCGTAATTTTATTAATTCTTATTGGGTTATCGGTTAACCCATTAACAAATCTGGCAAACCGAGGCCCGAACCGATAACTCAATAGTAAAAAAATTCTAAACAGTTACCGAAGCGTTAATTCAATAACCCGATACCGATAACCGAATAAACAATTAACGGTTCGGATTATCGGTTTTACTCGATATATGCCTAACCCTATGTTTGATCAACACGGAAAAAGTTTTTTTTTTGAAACGATCAAAGCATTTTTCAATTGATTTATTTAGAAAGAAAATAAAAAAATTAAAATGGCAAAAAATTGAGGAAAAAGGATAGGAATCCTTATTCTAAGAGGTGCCAGAATTTATATAAATATACAATCGTCATAATGATCCGTTATCACCTTAATTATAAATTACAGAACTAGTGGATGGTAACATTAAGCTTTAAATTGATTTATAGATTCGTAAGCGAGCTAAGCAATCCGGATCTGAATGGAAGTTAAGATTTGGTTAGTTGACATCAAGAGGTGATCAGTAGTAATCCTACCCAATTTGTGTTTCAACAACTTCCATGATTTGTATATGGAATTTACCGATTATTTTGAATTTACATGTAGGACAAATCCTTTACTTGATATGATACTGTTATATTTATTTGAGACGATTACAGTTATTTTGAATGTTCTCATTGTTACTAAATATGTTTTACCGTTACTTGAGATAAGATTTACTGTTATCGAAATGAGATTATATGATTTGATAAAAACTGAAGTACCCTATATGTCTTAAAATATTTTCCTACGAGTATTTATCGATTACTAAGACAAGTATAAATGGGAGGAGACTTGAAGGACCCCATAGCTAACGACGGGTTCGTTAGACCTGATGCACCTTGTAATTATCGATTACCGTTACAACCCTCACTAGCGGGAAGGTAGAATTAACATACCATTACTGATTTTCCTCGAGTAAGGACTACCGTTATATTTGACTTATTGCGAAGAGGTTCACACTTATACCGAATACATGATCCGTTTATTGAAACCTCCCAAACATGAATATTTGATATGACATAGTGTTTATTACTGAATAGTTAATTGATCTCTATTTATATTAAACACATGATGAGACCGATTTCTGTTTATTATTTTGAAAAGGCCTTTTACTAATATTTTCTGGTTAATACATTGCATGTTCTCTGACTTGTCCCCAATTAAAAATAGTTGTGGTTAAGTATTACTACACACTGAGCTAGCGACTCGCTCCCAGTGGCGGAACCAGGATTTTCACGAAGGGGGTTCAAAATTTTTTTTTTGTAGCTAGTGGGAATTGAACCCCTGACCTTATGTAAATTTTGAACCCCGTTGACTACTAAACTACACTTTTGGATTGTGTTAAGGGTGTTCAAAACTTAATATATAGAGGTAAAAAAATAGAATTTGCCTTATATATACAGTATAATTTTTCGGCGAAGGGTGTTCGGGTGAACACCCTTGCGTCCCCCTAAATCCGCCCCTGCTCACTCCCCGTTATATTTTCCCCAGAGACAACAGGTGATGCAAACGATGACCTCCCTAATAAGAGCGCACGCATTGACAATTCATAGTTAACCCCACACTTATTCGCGTGGGCGAATAGAATATCTATTTGTCATGTTCCTTCCTTTCAAACTCTTAAAGTCGCTCCATAATTATTTTTATTGGTGTCATGAGTATCCTTTCTTTCCTTATTTTGGAGATGGATTTAGTATTATTGTATTGGAAAAGGTTGATAATATTGGTGGAGGCTCGTTTTGGTTAATTGATGAAGATTATGACTGTTTCTGCTGAATATTGATTGGTTGTGTTTATTTATGAGACATGATAAAGTTTGGTTTGTCCTAAAATAGGGGAAACTTTGTTCAATTTTCTGTAAAATACCGATGAGGTTTACTTGGAACCCTTGCTCCCAAGCGCCGGTCATGATCCTAAATTGGATCATGACAAAGTTGGTATCAGAATCACTCCGCGTGCAATCTTAATGTTGGTGGTGCAAATCCCAGCGAGAACACAAAATTCCTAAGGGGGTACGTATGTGACACTCTAGGCGAATCCTACATCGAGAAAATACGGGAGAGATGTTGACTATATAAGTTGACAAGCCTTAGACTCTAGTGACGCATTTTAAGGTCATACGAATCTAGGCCCAAAATGGACAATATCACTAATGTGCTGAGCTGTTACGGCCCGCCATGCAAGCAAATACATCTTCTCTTTTCTAATTTAATTAAATGCATTATGTTCTATATATGAGTATAGTTGAACTTAAAGTAGTTTCTCTTAGAAAAACATACCAAATTTTGAAAAATATTACTCCCTTCAGTCCAAAATAAGTGATTTTTTGGATGTTTTCACACAGATTAAGAAATCCACCTTTTAGCATTAATTAGCGATAGAATTGACCATATTAACCTTTACTATCTCACATAAACACTCCTAATACATATTCCAACACTATTTACTCCAAGGACAATGTAGGAAAAAAATAATCAATTCATTCTTGAAATTTGAAAAAATCACTTATTTTGGACCACAAGAAAAAAGCCAAAAAATTACTTATTTTAGACCGGAGAGAGTAAAATGTAAGGTAGAATCATCGATAGAGGACATAAAATGGCCCAACCTTGTGCAGAAAAGGAAAATAAAAAAGTCAAAAACTCAAAAGCCATGATGCATGTCCTATATTTTAGTAGTTGAATTTCTCTTACCTTTTGACAAATAGTTCGATGAGAATCTTGAAAACTACCTTCCTAATTAAGCTCCAATATACCATGTGAATTGCCTATACTAAATAAATTCCTTGCCATAACATAATAATGACAACAAATTTCAGTTATGGAAATCTAATTACACATTTCAGGTTCCAAAACGACCCTATTTAAAACTCCCATAAATTTAATTAATACCATTTTCAAAAGTTTAAAATTCTACTCATTAAATAACATATCCGTTCATCCACCTCAAATATATCAAACCAAGTGTGCTCTGAATTTGAGAAATTTTGCTACTCCCTTTGGTCTATTTTAATTGACTTTTTTGTTGTTTTCACACATTAAGGAATTCATATTTTAGTATTAATTAATAATAAAATTGATCATATTAACCTTAATTTGTTTATTGAAAATATAACAAATACTCTTAGCCTCTTTTACTTCAAGAGCAACCTAGAAAAAAAAGTTAATTTCTTCTTGATATATGAAAATATTAAATATTATGAACCGCAAAAAAAAAAATACCAAAAAATAATTAAAATGGACCAGAGGGAGTATCATTTGTTAAGTTTTGATAAAGAATTTTTTAAATACTTATGATGATGAAAAACAACATACACCTAATAGGTTAACCAATATTCATGCTAATTGACATGAACAAAATCGTTATAAGTTTATAATATAAAAGTATTGACGAGAGTAAAATGAATTTGTACACACACGACCGTTAATGAATTTGAATTTATTTTAAAAAATTAAATAAATAAGTACAAATTTTATGCATTAATAATTAATATAAAATTTATTTATACAATTAGATTATTTATTATAATTATTGATAAATCTCAAATATTAATTCATAATCTAATAAGTACAATGTAACAAACATATATACAAAAATTGTATAAAAAGATCCTTACAATATCATTGCATGTGGAGTAATATACTATACTATAACTAAAATCCAAAACAAAAAAGCATATTTGTATGCATTATTTTCTGGGAAATAAATAGGAAAAAGACAAAAGGTGAAAATAAAAAAGAAAAGAAAAATGATGTATTTTTGCATGAACTCCTCGAAAATAAAGGCCTAGACTAAGAGACGCTTGGCAGTCTATTGCAACCTTTTCTCACCAATTGTTACTCTTCTCCTTCATTATTCCAAAACCTCATCTCTTTCCTTCACTTTCCCAAGAAAATAAATACATACATATAATAGGAAAAGAATATTTCCAAATTCCAAACACATAATAATAATTTCCATATATATAGAAGTTTAATGTAATTATTATTAGTAAGCTTCTTTTTTTTTTGTTATTGTTGTTGTTCATGTAAAATCATGGAAAGTTCTAGAAAAAAGATGTGTTATTCAACAACATCAACAAGGGTTTTGTGGATTATGGTGCCATTTATTTTGGTTTCTATTTTTTTCGCTTTTGGGAATAATTCAAAAATATCAACTTCTTTGTTTTCTTCTTCTTCAAGTTGGCTTTTTTCTTCAGGTTATTATTCTTTGGACTTGGATTACTAATAATAGTAATTATTTTAGTAATAGTACTTTAATGGTTATTTTACTAATTTTTGCTTCTTAAACAGTACTTAAAAAAAGTTCCGGCGATGAGCAACCGGATTTTCAGCCGAAAGTGGTGGCGGTGGCGGTTGCTGGCAACGGCGGCGCTAACCGAGAAGAAGCTCTGTTGGAAGACTACAGCTTTAACAATAGTAATAGTTTTTCTCCACTTACTGCTGAAGCTGATCAAGAAGTTGAGAAAGAAGCTCAAGAACTTAAAGAAATTCAGCAACCAGTAAGTCTTATTTCTTTTTCTTTTTTTTTCTTTTTTTTTAATATTTTAAAGGAATTTTGTGTGCATTTTTATATGCATGTACTTTTTTCTTTTCTGTGTGTTGGGATGATTTTATTTTTAAAAAGTAGGGCCTAAAATCAGAGTTCCTTGATTAAAATAAAGAATTTAACTTATATTAACTAATAATGTAAAAATTACAATCAAAACAATTTAATGTCTGATATTTACTAATTCAGTTTTTTTTTCTCTATCTACGATTTAACTTATATTCACTAACAATGTAAAAATTACACTATCAATACAATTTAGTGGATCTGCTATTTACTAATTCAATTTTTTTTCTCTATGTTCTTTTTTATTTTATTTTTAATGTTTAAAGGAAATTTGTGGGCATTTTTATGTGCATGTATTTTTTTTCTTTTCTGATTGTCAGTGATGTTTTTATTTTTAAAAAGTAGAGCCTAAAATCAGAGTTTCTTGGATTAAAAATAAGGATTTAACTTATACAATGTAAAAATTACACTATCAATACAATTTAGTGGATCTGCTATTTACTAATTCAGTTTGTTAAGGGAAATTACCTGTTAGTACTACATTTGAAGTGACCTGATATTGTAAAAAGAATTTACAGTGTTAGTATATAGAAGTTAAACTCTAAAATTAAAGGTTCGTGATGGTTATTACATATTGTATTGTATCGTCTTGTTACTTTAAATACGATGTTTGTTTTGGTTGTTATTTAAATTTTATTGTATCGTATCATTAAGTCCGTCGTTACATAATGACGAAATGGGCCACTTTATGTAACGACCGATTTGGTGTGGTTGCATCGTTATCTTGTCTTTTTCTCTCATCTCACCCTTCATTATTATTAAATAATTTTATTTTATCATTTATCCTANTATGGATCTCCCATTAGGTTATTATTTACTATATCTTTTAGGTCACTATATGAGGACTTACTAATGAAAAATTCAAGCTGTCGACGTGTTAAGTTTAATCCGAATGGTGCAAAAAATATTACACACCATTTGTGCATGAAATTTAGACTCGAGCACACATTAAATGACCTAATGGTACTGTAAAATCAGAATAGCCAATGTATATAAGTTAAATTATATTTTTAATATTTATTTTATGCATTAGATTTTCTTTCATTTGTGTTTGCTTTTGGATGATGACGTTTTGAACTTTGGTCGCTTCCTTACTCTAAAATCTGAAGAGTTTCTTGGGTACAATATTATGAAGTCTGAAACTTTATGTCGGTCAATTAAAGAAAAAGATCCCAAAAAATTCTTCTTTTATATTCTTCAAAAATTCGAAAGCACTCTACATGATAACATTGAGAACAAGAACCTCTAACAACTTGCTTGGTTGGTTGTTATGTATTTTATCATGTTGTTATTTTAAATGCGATGTTTGTTTTGATTGTCATTTAAATTTTATTGTATCGTATCGTTAAACCTGTCGTTACGTAATGATGAAATGCGCCACTTTATGTAACAACTAATTTGGTGTGGTTGCGTCGTTATCTTGTCTTTTTCTCTCATCTCACCCTTCATTATTATTAAATAATTTTATTTTATCATTTATCCTACCTTTTTATATAATAAATTTATCCCGTATCATAATTCTTCTTTATAATATTGCCAGTTTATTTTTCATATTGCTGTGTGGGTGTCATGAAACAACAACAAACGATACGATATATCCAAACATTGTATTCATCAAACGATATGGACAATACGATACGATACGATACATTATAAAACGATGTGTAACAGCCATCCAAACAATAGATGTATGTAGTTAATTTATTGCTAAATTATAGGAGTAGTAATTTTTAGAAGGTGAAAAAAATTTGGAGCTGTTAGTTTTCTGTAGTTTATTTTTTTTTTTGGGTCAAGTCTTGTATCTGTTCTAGTGGGTACGGACTACTGAGTACTTTTCAGTGTAAATTTGTTTCCCCTTTGAATAGTTATTTTCTGCATAGTTCATAGGATTTAACTGAACTGGTATGAATAAACCCCATTATAAGTAATTATTTTCTTGTATATGAAAAAAAGAAATAAAAAAGCAGGGGAAATGTGATTGCCTTTTCTTTTTTTTCTCTTATTTTCCTTCTGTTTTTTGGGTGTGTTTTGGGTGGTTTAATTAGAAATACTTTATATCCGATGATCGGGAAAAAGGTAAAAGCGGAAGAAAGATTTCTGAACTAAACCTTACTCCCTCTGTCCGAATTTATGTGAAGGGGTTTGAAGTATGAGCGTCAAAGCACTTGATTTTCTATGTCAATTCAGGTATAAATTTTTCGTATTTTAAAAATAATTTACACATTTGAAAACTACATTACATGAGAAGTATTATAAGTCGACATACGTAATTATTACTGTTTTGACTCTCCAAACAGTGATATCTTTATATAAAATGGCGGGGGAGTATATATTTTGCAGTGGCCTCATAATTTCAAGCAAATAATACTTGTCATTATCAGTTATTAAGTAGTTTGCATGTAATAGTGATTTCGTAATTTTTGTAGCGAATATCGGGGACAAATCTCCCCTTACTGAATGGTAATTGTTGCAAATCTTTTTAAGCAGGTTATACAGAAGAATGAAAGTTTTAACATTTCCTTGGACGAACCACATGAGTTCCCTTCGTTGAATGAAACTCATGCTCTTCCAATTGAAACCCGAATCAAGAGAAAGTTTAGCAATCTGGAGAGGTTAGAAGCCAAATTGTGGAAATCTCGAGCTGCGATCAAAGAAGCCGCTATGTCTGGAAATCAAACAGATGATGCCGATTATGTTCCATCCGGTCCAATGTATTGGAACGCCAATGCTTTTCATAGGTATGCCGCTGTTTTTCGTTCATTGTCAATTTACTTTGTTTGGTCGTCACACTTCTTTATCAAGAAACCTATTTTTTTGTGTCCGATTTGTTTGTGTAATGTATTTTGGTTCTAACTTCAGGAGTTATTTGGAAATGGAAAAGCAGTTCAAGGTATTTGTATATGAAGAAGGAGATCAGCCTATTTTTCACAATGGTCCGTGCAAAAGCATATACGCGATGGAGGGGAACTTTATTTATCAAATGGAGACGACCAAATTCCGAACTAGAGACCCTGAGAAAGCTCATATATTTTTCCTACCAATCAGTGTGACGTCAATTGTTCACTTCATATATGATCGAAACTCCAGAGAACATTGGAATCCAATGAAACAAACGCTTAGGGATTACATTAATCTTGTTGCTGGGAAATATCCTTATTGGAATCGAAGCCTAGGCGCGGATCACTTCATACTTGCTTGCCATGATTGGGTAATTCCTCACATCCTACTCTTGCATTGACCGTTTTACGTTATAATTTTCAACTTAATTATTCCTTTTTTGAGCCGAGGGTCTATCGAAAATAACTTCTCTCTACAAGGTAGAGGTAAGATTGCGTACTCACTACCCTCCCGAAACCTCACTTGTGGGATTGCACGGGGTATGTCGTCGTCGTTGTTGTTTCTGGAGAAAAGTTTGTTATTAGAATAATGATTGTTTTGAAATGCGTCGATCTTGTAGGGGCCTGAAATTTCCAAGGCTGTTCCGGAGCTATTCAAGAACTCAATTCGAGCGTTATGCAATGCAAATACCTCGGAAGGATTCAAGCCTTCTAAAGATGTATCCTTTCCAGAGATCCTTCTTCCGGGAGGTACAATGGACGGCCTAATTGGCGGTCCATCTCCATCACGTCGCTCAATTTTGGCGTTCTTCGCTGGAGGACTTCACGGACCTATACGTCCAATACTTCTCGATCATTGGGAAAACAAAGACGACGATATCCAAGTTCATAGGTATCTACCAAAAGGCGTCTCGTACTATGGCATGCTAAGGAAGAGTAAGTATTGCCTATGTCCTAGTGGTTACGAAGTTGCTAGTCCGCGAATGGTCGAGGCACTTTACACGGGCTGTGTTCCGGTCCTTATTAAGGACCATTACGTGCCACCTTTTAGCGATGCTTTGAACTGGAAATCGTTCTCGGTTGAAGTCCCCGTTGAAGAAATTCCAAACTTGAAGAATATTTTGGCTGGAATTTCGACAAGGCAATATATAAGATTACAGAGAAGAGGTAAACAAGTGAGGAGACATTTTGAAGTTAATTTGCCTCCAAAACGTTATGATGTTTTCCACATGATCCTTCATTCTATTTGGCTTAGAAGATTAAATATGAGACTTCGTGGTGTTGAATATTTGTAACATATCTGTATCTTCTTTGTAGTGTTAAAATAATTGTGTTTATGTGAACCACGTGTTTTACAATGAAATTCTGTAGAGAATTACGTTAATTCGGTGAAATATTTTTTTTATAGGTAATTAATGTATGTATGTGTCGTTCTATTTAGTAGGCCTATTTGATTCTGAGTCGATATCTAGTAGGCCTGCAAGTTGTCGTATATTGTGTTTGTCTTTGTTAATTAGTTTCTCATTCGCTTTAGAAGATTTCAATTGCAATAACAACAAACTTAGAGTAATCCCGCAAGAGCGGTTTTGAGAGCGAGTGAGGGCCGGCTCTAATGTACATTCAAGTAAGGCTTTTGCCTTAGGCTCCCAAAATCTCTAATGTACATTCAAGTAAGGCTTTTGCCTTAGGCTCCCAAATTTTAGGGGCCGCAATTTTTAGTAATAATAGATTTATAGGTATCTAAAAAAAAATATTTGGTACTTTTCGTATAAAAGTTAGAGTTTTTTCTATAACAGTTGTCTCAAAGAAAAGAAGTTTTGAAGATTATAATTGATAAAATCTTACCTAAGAAAAGAAGTTTTGAAGATTATAATTGATAAAATCTTACCTAAGATTAGCAGTGTCTCAAGATAGATTAAATTTGTTGGCTATATTATCAATTGAAAAGGAATTATTGGAGGAAATCGATTATAAAAAATTATTAATAATTTTTTTAGAAACTTCTTAGGCGTCACATTAAACTTTGAATTTAGGCCACACATATGTTTGAGCCGCCTCTGACGGTTGTATGTATGCATCATTATCCTACATTTTGTGCAGATAGAGGTACTGTTTTCAATGAACTCTATCTTTGTTAGGATATATTATTAACCATGCGGTTTAGATATAGTATTTTGTTTTATTCTTTATGGAACAATTGTTTATTTAATTTATTCAATTCAATAAAGTACTATTTTAAATAGATTATTTGTTACATGTGTGTCCTTTTAATTATGCAGTAGACAATTTAGTGTATGAAATCTTAGCTTATGCACAGAAGATTAAATTGTCGGTTCTCATAATTAATAAACTATGTTCATAGTCAAAGATATTATTGGAAAAAATATCTCGATGATCGTAGCACAAGATTATAGTATAATTTGTCTTGATTATGGGAGTGATTTTTCTCTGACTTCTTGTGCTAGTATACTTAATATATATTGAACGGACCAAGTAGAGAAAAGATGTTTTTGTACTGAATATATATATAAAATATTTTCTCTAATTCATTAAATGAGCTTATACTCCTAATCTTGATATAATTATTATGAGTGTTTTGTTTATTGTTTCGATTTATCAAAAGGTACGACTCTATTCAGAGTTAGTGTATGCCTATTAAATTGGACAATAACGAATACCATTTGTGAATAATAATTAGTTGATAGAATCCATGACTCGGTTTTGAGTTTGATAATACCCCTTTATGTAAGCTTATAAGTTTTCATTGGAAAACTCGGCCGGTGGATTTTGTATCCGTCGCATAAAATAATTTAAGCGAAATTATAAAGGATTTAATTTAGTTGATTAAATTAAATTGTCAATGATTTAATTTAATTAACTTGTATTTGAGATCTTAACATGGGGAGTTAAAATAATTGATTGAATTTTCGAAATTCATATTGAGGAGTTCAATTGCAGTGTTTTAGTGGAATAAATTACAATTAATTATAGTAAGAATTAATTCATGCTAATTTCGAATTAATTCTATAATTGGTAGCCTCTTATTATTTCTGTGGTCCCTGCTATAACTAGTAAAAACCTGGACTTGACTTGGGTAAAAAGTGACTTGGGAGAAAAGTCATCTGGTAGAACTGGAGTAGGATTCTACTTGTGAAAGCAGAATCCTACACGTTTTTGGAGCGTATTTTCGGCCAAAAATCAGTCTATTTAAGGAAGACTAATTTCACCCAACAACTCACGTTGTATTATTTTTGCCCACTCAAAAGCAAAGTCATCCAAGGTTTTGCTAGGCATATAGCAGAAGACTGCAGCCCTGGATTCTTGCTGTGTGGAGGATTTGTGCAACNACTTTGGGGACTCAACACAAGGGTTGAGTCCGTCTAGGACAGGTGTACCCAAAGAATAAAAGACCATCCCGATGCATACTATGTGCTACGTGTTGCAATTTTCAAGGGTATGTGAGCACGTAATTTTTGCCCCACATGAACTACTCCCACAAAAATCAAAACAAAATGTTTGATTTTATTGTGTGCAATTTTTGTGAATTTTCGTGATATTTTTGTTATTTTGCATTTGTGTGTGCACGTTTTTTGAGCAAATTAATGAAAAAAATACAAAAATAAGTTACATTTACATTTTAGGGTTTAATTTTACAATTAGGGTTAATTAAGCAAGTGTTTGTTTTACGAAAATGAAAAGAAACCACAAAAATAACATACTTCGCATTTTAGGGTTTAAATGTCGAATTGTGTAATTTTTCTTTTAAACTTAGTGTTTAGTTATTTTGGGAAAATTACTATTTAGAGTTAATTAGTATTTTTGAGTATTTTTGCCCACTCAAAAGCAAAGTCATCCAAGGTTTTGCTAGGCATATAGCAGAAGACTGCAGCCCTGGATTCTTGCTGTGTGGAGGATTTGTGCAACGATTTCAAGAGGTTAGTGCTTCTAATCTACTGATTATAACATTGTCTAGTTTACATGTATTTGATGCATGGTTGTATGCTTGCTTCCGCTGCGTATGTTCTAACAATCTTGTGCTGATAGAGATACTATCTTCAATGGACCCTCAGTTCAGAAGAAGCATGGTCATATCTTTTCTTAAAAAAATAATAATAATAATGTATAAACCATAAAATAATCGTATATAAACGTCACGACCCAAAAATCTCTCCGAAGGAGTCGTGATGACACCTAGTTTCTAAACTAGGTAAGCCTAACATAAACTGAAACAACATTGATGCTTTCTAACTTTTAATTTTTCAACTCTGGATAACTCAAAATTTTTCAAAACCGGTGGTACAAGTCACAAGCCCATCTAAGAGTAATTACACATAATAATACATCTCTGCCCCGAAATGAAAGAGCAAATGAAAATAATTACAAATGAAGGTGACTCCGAGATATGCGAACGCAGCAGCAGGTTACCGTGAGTCTCCACTGCGACGACCCGCACAGCTACTATCAATCAATACCTGGATCTGTACACAAAAAAAATATACAGAAGTGTAGTATGAGCACACCACGGCAGTGCCCAGTAAGTATCAAGACTAACCTCGGTGGGGTAGTGACGAGGAACAGTCAGGATACCTACTGATCAATTGCAATTAACAGGATATTGGTAATAAACATCAAGATAAAGATAACGAAGTAACATCAACTGCGGAGAGAAAATCCAAGTACAAACAGTACAAACAATAAAGGGAGAACACGGATAGTAACGAACGAAAATCACGTAAATCAGACAATCCAAATAATTCAACATCGATATAGCAGAGACAGAGACAAGTAATAATGTATCCAATTAAAGAAAACAATGTCAACTCAATCAATCCCATCAAGTTTAATACACCATCCCGGCCATTTCAATCCTCGATTTCTCATATCATATGCTCAACTTTCGAACTTTCGGCACATATGGCACACCGTGCCCACATATTTTCCATCTCACTCTTAACAACAAAATTCCCATGATATACAATACCAAATATCGTTGCAAATGCACTTAAGATGTTCGAGATGTCCTATTTGCATAATATAAATTAAATTTGAATTTCTAAATAAGTTTGGAAAAATCGGCGAGAAAAGATGAAGTTATTTTTAGAAATCATTCGAGTAAGAAAAATACCTCTTTAAATTTAAAATACAACATCGGAAGAATTATTACCTTTAGCAGGGGAGTTGATAACTTAAAACTTAGTAGAAATTTCTTTTTAAGTAAAATACAACCTCAGACGGTTTAAGAGGATAAAATTTAGAAACTAATTGGATTAAGGACGTAACAACTATTGAAGTTTGAAGTATTGGAACGTGTATATATATATANAGGCGTACCAGCCGCTCCCATTTCAATTTCTCATCATCAATTATAAAAGAATACCGGCAAGGAAATAATAAGGAAACAATAATATCTTGGCAAGGGAATAATAAGGAAACAACAATATCCCGACAAGGGAATAATAAGGAAACAACAATATCCCGGCAAGGGAGTCAACAACAAGAATAAACACGTCACGGCAAGGAACTAACAGTAAGAATTTAATGTGTCCCGGCAAGGGAATCAGCTATACCCAAACTTGTACCAATAATTAACCTCACAATGAAACCTCCACTACACGACAAGATGCAATAAGCACGTGATAACTACACCGGCAACCATAACAATTGGACATGTAACCTATTTGCACGAAGTCATAGAGGAACTCACAACCAAGAAGTACCAAAACAATAAGGAAGACAATCATTTCATTTAAGGCAATTTAGGGTCAATGTAACACGTTACAATTAGAGGGAAGCTAGCAACGTCATATGGAGCATATAGGGGCAATTTAAGCAACTGGGAAACCCAATCATAACAGGATACTTCCCACACAAGGACCTAAGAACCCTATAGGCAAATTTCCCACAAATAAGTCCGAGCATACACTCGTCACCTCGCATGCATGGACTACAATTAGCATAGAAGACTCAATTCCTAAGGGGAAGTCCCCCATACAAGGTTAGGCAAGATACTTACCTCAAAGGCGACAAACCGATACTCTAAAATGCACTTCTCGGGTGAAAAGACATTCGAACGGCTCAAATCTAACCGAATTAACTTCCGAGCACAAATACAACACGTAAAAAACTATTCCGGATCATAAAGTTTCAATCTTTACAAAAATATAAAAATCGATCCAAAAAGTCGACCCCCGGGCCCGCACCTCGGAACCCATCAAATTTTACAAAATCTTATCACCCATTCCAAAATGAGTTCAACCATACAAATTTTATCAAATTCCGATACCATTTGGCCCCTCAAATCGCGATTTTTCATTTTAGGAATTTTCTTCAAAAACCCAATATTTTACCCAACCCAAATCACAATTTAAATGACAAAAACGAAGACAAATTCATGGAATATAATCAATTCTAAGTTAAGAACAATTACCCAATTGTTTTGCTTGAAAAACCCACAAAGAATCGCCCAAAATCGAGCTCTAGAACTCCAAAAATGGTGAAAATAGCAAACCCTCGGAATAGAGTACTATTTATTCTGCCCAGGTCTTAAAGCATCGCGAACGCGGAGGAAGTATCACGTTCGCGAAGAAGAAAGATGAAGGCTGCCCAGGTTACTCATCGCGAACGCGACAGTGCGTCCGCGAACGCGAAGAAGGAAAATCGAATGGCCCAAAGACTGCTTTTCGCGAACGTGTGAACTTGTACGCGAACGCGAAGGGTGGGATGGTATAACTACGCGAACGCGATGGACGGATGCGAACGCGCTGAAGGAAGATACAGAGCTTCGCGAACGCGACCCTTTTAACGCGAACGCGAAGAAGGAATTCCAGCTGGTCAGCAACAAGGCTTCGCGAACGCGGAAGGCGATTCGCGATCGCGAAAGAGGATACCAGAAGCAGATACAGCAGTTCAAAAACAAGGGAAAATGACCCGTAGCCAATCCGAAACACACCCGAGGCTCCCGGGACCCCTTCTAATCACACAAACAAGTCATATAACCTAACACGGACTCGCTCGAGGTTTCAAATCACATGAAACAACAACAAAACAACGAATCAAACCAAAAATCGAGCTTATGAATTTCCAAATCTTCAAATATTAAATCTCATGCCGAAACCTATCAATTCAACTCGGAATAACGCCAAATTTTGCAGACAAGTCCAAATTGACATAACGGAGCTGTTCCAACTCTCGGAATCGCATTCCGACCCCGATATCACAAAAGTCAACTATGGGTCAAACTTCTCCATTGTCAAAACTTCAACTTTTCCAACTTTCGCCGAAACACCTCAAATTACCCTACGGACCTCCAAATCCGAATTCGGACGCGCTCCTAAGTCCAAAATCACCATACGAAGCTGTTGGGATCACCCACGACCCATTCCGGGGCCATTTACTCAAAAGTCCAATTCCGGTAAATGTTCACTATTTAAACTTCCATAACTAGGTTCCTTCTTCCAATTCAATTCTAATTCATCCGGAAAACGAATCCAACCATGCACACAAGTCGATATACCTAATGTGAAGCTGCTCGAGACTTCAAACTACCGAATCGAGCGTAGTTGCTCAAAACGACCAGTCGGGTCGTTACAATAAACTATGAAAAGGAGACAGTAACACGAAATAATACAACAATAATAGAATAACAAGAAAACTGAAGCAAAAGAAACAATTGGTAATAATATAAAAATATGAGAAGAAGATTCCAATTCCAAACATGAAATATCTTTTGGAATAACTATCAAATTTCCAAGGGAAAAATAATAGTATTATAATATTTTGTAATTTTTTTGTTAAGCATGAATCGATGCCTATACACAATTTGATCAAAGTCTAATTGCATTTATTTTCTAATTAAGTTAGCCGGCTTGCTAAGAGACTGTGCAAGATTATTATTTAATTTAATTAACTTGAGACTACAAAGGAAGTGGCTGAATGATTTAATATATTTAAAACCAAATGTCTCAAATTCTTCTATTTTTTACCAAATATCTTAAATTCAAACTCTATAAATATATGAAATGAAACACTAAGCGCTGTTACAATATCAAATTACAAATCCCAATTTGGTGTTGGCCATTGCGTCACGGATTTGGAGGTCGGCAAATTCAGGGAGTTATGAAGAGTTGTACATTTTTAATTTAAGAAAAAAGAGTTGTACATATTTATGTCACATCGGCCAAGTGGCTTTGTGCATGCAGATTGAAGATTGTCCGAAGCGTAGAAGGTGCTACTATATATCTTATTTTTAAATTAACTTAAAATAAAAGGCGATGCAATAAGCAATTATTAAATGGATTAATTTTAACTAAAAAGAAACTCTAAGCAGTAGTAAAAGCGCCATATAATTTATTATCATAAAACATCCTAAACCACCTTAAAAAATATTCACAACTACTATATAAACTCAACTATCACCTCCGTTTCTCAGAGAAGAAACAACTTGTCTGAAGTTGTTATATTAGCCCGTTAATTTTCTTTTATAAAAAAAGTGGATACATGTTAATTGGAGGTGGCCAAATAAGATACCATGTGAAATTTATGTTCGGGCTGCAGTCTGTCCAAATTGTTGGATCATAACTCATAACCAACGTAAAAGCCTATCGGAAAAGTGTTATAGTTTTGAACACATAATTTAGAAAAACTAAAATTTTGAATTCATCAAATTTAAATTATGAATTCATCTCATGTGAAGTGCACAGTTAGCCAATAATAAGATATATATTTACTTTTAAGCTACTGTTTAAAATATCTTTAGTTTTTAGCCACTACTTTATAAACTTTTACCCGCTCGGACGAAAATACCCTTCTGCTCATAAGATTCAGGACCAATTGTCCTTAACTTATGAGCTTGTAACTGTAAGTTCAGGACTAGTTGTCCTTAATTTATGAGCTTGTAAGTCTAAGTTTAGGACTACTTGTCCTTAACTTTTGAACTTGTAACTCTAAGTTCAAGACTACATGTCCTTAACTTTTGAACTTGGAACTCGAAGTTCAGGACTACCTGTCCTTAATTTCTGTGCTTGTAACTCTAAGTTAAGCACTATCTGTCCTTAATTTCTGTGCTTGTAACTCTAAATTAAGGACCAAGTGTCCTTAATTTTTGAACTTTCAACTCTAAGTTCAGGACCAAGTGTCCTTAACTTATGGGCTTGTTACTGTAAGTTCAGGACTAGCTCTCCTTAATTTATGAGCTTGTAAGTCTAAGTTAAGGACTACCTATCCTTAGTTTTTGAGCTTGTAACTCTAAGTTTAGGACTACCTGTCCTTAACTTTTGAACTTGTAACTCTAAGTTCAGGACTACATGTCCTTATTTTTTTTTAAGTTTAAAATTGAGACAAATGACAAATCCTGTATTTTTATTTTTTCCCTCTTGCTTTAAGATTTATTATGTATTCTTTAGGGTGTCAACTTATCACCAATCAATGCTTTCATGAAATAAGTTTACACGAACTGCACTTTTTGATGGACAATGTGTAACTTTTAAAGGTTCATGTGCGTAGCTCATAAGTGATAAACAAATATTAGGGCTTTTAGCATAGAGCAGAAAGATTCGCTGGAAAAAAAGGGAGACGGAGAGACTGGCAAGGAAGAGAACATGGACAGAAAAGAGATAGAAGAAAGGGTAACATTGTCTTTTCATATTAATTTTAATAGACTAGTGGCTACTTTTGCTTAGCATTAAAAATGCTGGGTAAAAAGTAAATACCACTTTAAAAAATGGCTATCCCGCGCAATTTTTACGTAACGTGCACGTAGCTTAAAAGCTCGTCTGGTTTAATATAATATAGCAGATTTTAGGCATCAAGTGCTTTTTGATACTTTAAAGCATATTTACCTATTTAGATAAAATATTGAAACAAAAAATAAATGGTGATATGTCAGTAAAAATTGATGATAAATATTTTGTTTTTATTATAATACATAAATATTCATAAATTTATTAATATTAGTTATCTTATTATTGGAGAATTCTCTGACAAAAGTAGCAAAAATTATTTGTATTTAGATAATTACTTTTGAGTAATATTTAGTGCTAAATATTAGTTTCGAATTTTCAAAATATTTGTTACTAAGCAAGAACGTAAAAAAGAAGGGAAAACAAAAAGAAACTTTGTCGGTAACATTATTGAAAAGCTTTTTATTGACCCAAAAAGAAGAAAAAAAAGAGAGAGAAGAAAAGCTTCTTTTTTCTCTTTTTATTTTTCCCTTCTGTTGATTTGACCAGATGTGAAACGCAAGCTTCTCTTCCGTAAGAATCTAATTGGTTAATGAGTTATCGTCATACGCATTCTGCAATGATGGTGTTTTTCTGTTAAGGAATCGGGTCAATAATTAAACCCGTTAACCCATAATCATATCCCCAACTATCTCCCGCTTTCTCTCAGTCCTTTTCCTCTCAAATCACATCGCTCGTATTAACCTTAATAATCCGCCATGAGCGAACCTCGAAAACACCAGGTTTGCATATAATTAATCATTTATGTAATTACTCATTTTCTTTGCATGATTTTGAATGCTAATTTGAGAATTTGGTTGATTTTGTTTTTTTTTTCCTCTCGTTTTGATCAGGTATCATTGCGAGGCGCAAGTGCGAAGGAGATTTCGAGGGATGTGCTTTTGGAAAAAGTTTCGCAAGAGAGAGCGTTGAGGAATTTTACTCGGCGAGCCACTTCTGCCGCGCGCTTAATTCAGGTCAGTTAATTCGGGTTTATTAGCTTAATTATATTATAGTAATTCAGCTCGTCTGATACATGAGTTATGATCGATATACAGTGCTTGATTGTGTAGTATGATTTTCGTTTACGATACTGTATATTGAATGTGTCATTTTGCTAGAAATGTCGTGCTAACGTCTACATTTAAAAACTAGGAGATAATCATATAATTGTGTGCTAGTGGTTTTTCATTGTCAAAATGGTCAAATTACTGTATTTGTTTTTAATTCAGCGCGTGTTGGAGCTTTACTCTCTTTGAATTGATTGTATTATCTGGATGATCCAGCCAGTAGTCATATGCTTGTCTCATTCATTAAGCCGTGCATGTGTAAGTTTGAACTAATTCAGATTGTCACACTGCGAATTAATAACTAGCAAAGAAGTTATTATGCTCTGATTTTTAAATGTGCCTTTTTTAAAATCCTTTTTGTAAGTCACCTATGAAAGTAAAAAAAAAAAAAGAAAAGGTTCTCTCAGTGAGGTCGATCTGTTTCACAAAATGGTTAGAATGTACCTCAGTACTAGTAACAGTCAAATACAGATAGTTGGGGGCTGAAATTCGCTGAACCAAGTCAATAATTGAGAGAATGATCAGGAGATGCTATTCAATTGTATTTGTTGGCTATCTTTTTGGTTTACATGTATTTAGCTATTTGGATGAACTTGAGAAGTAAAACTAAAGCTTGAATAGTATGCTTCAAGTATGATTGACAACTATGAATGCGACTGCTTAAAATATGTGCAGAGAGCTTGGCAGCGTTATAAAGTTAAAAAATCTGTAGCCCTAGAGCTTCAGCAGCAGTGGGAATCAATGATAAATAGTCATCTTGCTCCTCTAAAGAAATCGTATATATCCAGCCAAGTCCTGAGGCCTTTTATTTTCTTTACTACATTCTTGTTGGCACGGTATAGAAGAATTCAAGACAGAGAAAAAGATTGCATCAGGAGTTGCTTTAGAGTTATCTTGGAGAGCATAAACTCAACCGGTATGCTATTCTTATATTTTTTCTAGCTTTTAAGTTTCTATGCAATTTTATAGTCCTGATTGTCTTACTGTAACTATTGTGTTTTGCAAGTTTTGGCACGAAAAGTATTCCTTTTCTCGTTCTACTATTATGATTTCATACAAAACATGGTTATAGAGTAATTCTTAACTGTCAGAAAGCTGTGTGAATTTCTATGCTGCACAAGGCAAGTCCATTAATCTAGTCCTTTTTAATTTTGGTTAAAGTTATGCCAGGTAAAGAGAATTGCTTATAATATTTTAACTTTGGCTTCATTTAGGCTATGATTCTTTTGCTGCATTAGATATTTTTTCATCATGTATTTTACAGTATTTCATGTGAAATGATGGACTATACTTCTAGACTGAGTGATTGAGTAGTAATTAGGGCGTAAATTACTCTGCTGAGATGCTTGAGGCGGGATATTCAAATAACCCTTGTGCTGGCACAGTTGTGGGTCAGATAGGATAATAGTTTTGTTCTGTCATAATTTCTTCTATCCTTCGCTTCATTATCACCCATGGAACCAATGAAAAAAGAGAAGAATGCCTAGCATTCGGAAGGAAATAAAGCTTTTTTAACCTGATTCTACTTCTCGCCTGAGTTATTTCTAATTTGCTAACTCCATGACGCACAACTTGCTTTCTTTCGCTATTAGTTCCAAATTTGGAACCATAAGCACAAACATCAGCTATAAATCCTTGCTCCTTGCCCAATCAAAAATAAATAAATAATAAAAAATCCCGTCCCTTGCATGATCCGCGTTTATCTTGTGCTATTTGTTAGTTAAGTTGATTAGGTTACAGCATATGTTGACTTTCACTGTTTCTTTTTTAGATCCTCATGGAAATTTTTGCTCAATGGCTATAGGAACCGTGGAAGAGAGAAATTTTTTTGAGTTATTTCTAATTTGCTAACTCCATGACGCAAAACTTGCTTTCTTTCGCTATTAGTTCCCAAATTTGGAACCATAAGCACAAATATCAGCTATAAATCCTTGCTCCTTGCCCAATCAAAAATAAATAAATAATAAAAAATCCTGTCCCTTGCATGATCTGCGTTTATCTTGTGCTATTTGTTAGTTAAGTTGATTAGGTTACAGCATATGTTGACTTTCTCTGTCTATTTCTTTCTTTTTTAGATCCTCATGGAAACTTTTGCTCAATGGCTATTGGAACCGTGGAAGAGAGAAAAGTTTGGAATTATCAAGCAAAGAAGTTGATTACCATGTGCTTGTTTATTTTAACAGAATATGATATGTCCTGTCACAAGAATAACGATGTTTTACTTACATCGTTAGCAATGCGGTTGGCAGTAATTCTGACCGATGTGAAAGGTTGGAGGTGCATCAGCGATAACAATATACAGGGTGCATTAGTGGCAGTTAGGGATTTAGTTCAGTTCATGGGAAGTATTAGAAGTGGACTATACAATTCTGTAAGGAGGTACCTTTGTAAACTTGAAGCTCCTTGTTCCTTTCAGGCGGCAGATGAACGGTTATTGATAACTGCAAGTGCAATTACTTTAGCACTACGACCATTTCATGTTGCGAACTTAGTTGTGGATAAAAATGTCTTACTAGAAATGCAGAGTGCTGCTGAGCAATACTGTGCTTATCTACTTACAATACCTTGGATTGCTCAACGGTTACCAATGGTGTTGATTCCGCCTTTGAAACACAAGTCTGTGTTAACACCTTGCTTGAGGATTCTATTGGTAAGTTTGGCATAGTAAAGGAAATAATTTACTGTTTACTGTTGCAACAAATTAGAAGTGTATATGCTTGTAGTTACATAATTTTGTCAGCTGTGGGCTAGAAAAATCTACCAGACAATCACAAGAATGAGTCAATTGGTTCCACTTCATTTTAAACATATAGAAATACTTTTCTCCTGAATAAACTTTGCTAAGGCTGAGGTTTAATCTGTCTTTCTTTGGCCGTAGAATTTTTTCTGGAATTTAACTGTTTTTTTGTTTTGAAATTTTTGGGGTAATACTTGGTTGCATTTGCAATTTATACACCTAAACTATGGGGTGTTTGTATTACTTCCTTGAACTTCATCTTTTTCCGTATCTGTGTAGCACCCTGGAACAAGATCTAGTGGAAGTGATAATCACACACTAACCACGTGGATTTCTTAAACACATGACATCTTTTTAATATTAAATAATATTTCCTTTTTAAACTTGCAATTTTAGGACCATTTTTTTGGCAAGATCTATATATAGTTAGGCCGAAATCTTATCTTTTCTTTTAGCGTAGCTACAATTCTACATTTAAACGCGTGGCATTTCTTCCAAATTAAATAATTCTATTTTCTGTTTAAACTCCTGCATTTTTTTGGGATTCATTTTGTCAGGGCAGATCTGTAACAAGCTTGGTCAGAATTTCATTTTTTGGGTGTTGCTACAGTTGCAAACATTTTACTTTAAATTAGATAAACATTTTGCTTAACTCAAGCATTTTTTGGAATCCATATTTTCCCACCAGATCTGTGAAAAGCGTGGCTGCAATTCTATTTCATTTGGGTCAGATCCAGCACTCTAAACAAAAGAACAAATAAATGAGAGAAATAAAGAAGAAAAAGCTAGAAAAGTTTACACAGTTGTATATAACCATGTTAGTTGTAGGAAGAAAAAGCCAGTGTAGCTTCTTTATATTATATTTTTTTTGCTCTCACGCGCCACACAAGAGTTGGACCTACTCTATGCCACTTGGCACTTCAGGTGGTAATAGATAGGTAAAATGGAAGTTCAGTGGGTAAAATAAACACTTCATAGTTTAGGTGTGTAAGTTGCAAATGGAGCCAAATTTAGAGAGGTTTTATTTATTATTCACATCATTAGCTTTATTATTTTCTTTGTTGCTTGTGGTGAGTGATTCATTAGTACTTTCTTTTCACCATGTTGTACAAAAAGAGTTATCAGTTGGACCATTGGATGATTTCTAAAAGCTTGGCACTTCATGCTCATGGTATGATGCATAACAAATATAGATAGTGGTTGCATGATATTTGTACCATATCACCCCCCTCTCCCCTGCGCCACCAAAAAAAGAAAAAACCATTACTATATGCTTGTCAAATTGATATTTTAAGTCTCAACTGATTTGGTTCTATTGACAAGGGGAATCTATGGAAGCATGCGATTGAAGCTAGATATGGAATGAATGTACGATGGTGCTGTAAGTAGTCATAGCCTGCTATGGAATTTCAATCTTCAAGTAAATCAGGAATGTGTGGTAGGAATTTGATGAGATGATGAGATTATTGGTGGAAAATGGCAGAAGAATAAGGCTTTGGCAGGATAGATGGATAGAAAACGAGAGTCCTATTCGTAAACCTATACATCTTGTCTGCGACAAAGATTTTTCTATTACAGAGGATTGAAAAAGGAACTGGAATTGAATATTTCATTAGAAGAAATCTGAAAGAAGAAAAAAATGGATAGTATTAGGATTCTGCTCGTTAAATTAGACGGAATGGTGCCATTGGACCATTAGCCTGACTCCCTTCAATGGTCTATCAAGAGTGGTTAGGATTTTTCAGTAAAGTCATGCTATGACTAGCTGCTAAGGAAAATTTTTGGAGAGCTATCTTAGTGGACATGGAAGATGATTTGGAGGCTCAGAGCACTTAGGATTCTTTTGGATGTGTAGCACACGAGGCACTTAGGATTCTTTTGGATGTGTAGCACATGAGGCACACTTAACACGTAATAACCTACTAAAAAGGGGTTCCAGTTATGCAGCAGATGCTATTTATGCTATCATCTGCTGTGTACATGGAACCCCTCTTTAGTAGGTTATCACGTGCTAAGCGTGCTTTGTTCTGTTGTATCCACCCAATAAGGATTCCACTTATTCAACAGATGTTACTACTGCATAAAATGTACTGAATTTGTAAATACATTCTTGCATGGTAAATATATATGATGGACATCATGCATGTTTGTAAACTTATTTTGAGGGATTATGGGCGAAGTTTGACAATCTATAAGCTGCAGTAAACCGTCGCTAGAGACAAAGGATAAATAATAGCCAAAAGCAATATATGGAGAGTTACCCCTTACTGTACATTTGGACAATTTGGATGGAAAGGAACCATAGATATTTTGATTAGCCTTATCTTTGTCTTTTGTAGTACTTAGATGCTCGCGATCATGTTTTTTGTGGTTTAGTAGAAATGTTGTAAATGATTTTGGTAATTTGCTGAAAGTTATTGTCCCCTTAGACTTATCTTACCTTTTTCATATAAAAAAAGTTATAGACCCCTTACATACTTGAAGGAGTGAATCGCAGATGATTTTGTAACACTCTTAATAATCCTTGACGCTGTAGTTTGTTTACAAAATATTGTCTTATATAAAAAGCTGGACATTTGACTATAAGTTCCCTTAAATTGCTGAGACAGCTTGCATTAACACTTACTGGTTTCATTTTGGTGATCATCTCTATATCAACAATTACTTTGTGCAGATTACTGTATTGATACCTTTCCAGAGTTGGATTACCATCTATATTTTGCATTATTTCTAATGTGATCAAGGATATTAGAATGTGAAGGGACTGATCATACTGTGACAGGTGATGGCAGATGTCAAAAGAGCAAATTCTAAAGCATATGTCAGATGTTGATCAGATGACGAGTTCTTCTCATAACAGGGTGATGCCACCAGTTGGTTGGGCTCTTGCAAATTTTATATACCTTTCTACAGCCAGCGAAAGCAATATCTCAGATTCTGGAAAGTTAGTGTCTGGTTTAGACCGTCAATCCTATGTCCATGTTGTGATTACTCTGGCAGAGAAATTATTGGCTCAGATTGAAAGGGCTGGATGGGTGAGAAAGGAGGATCAAGAAGTTCAAGGTGACGGAAATTTTGTTGAAGCCGAGACAACTTTTGAATCCTTGAAGACATCATACATGGACCTTTTTAAGCCTGTTTGTCTGCAGAGACATCTGATGGAACTTTTAGTGTTAGAAAAAGATGGTCTTGTTCAGAGAGCTGAAAGTCTACCATCATGTGGAGCAGAATCTTCTGGGAGCTGTGAATTGCTTGATGTTTCTTACTACTATTCATGCATGCTCAGAATATTTTCTGTTTTGAATCCAGTGCTAGGGGCAATGCCAGTTCTCAACATGCTATCTTTTACTCCTGGTTTTCTTTCTAACCTGTGGGGAACTCTCGAAGAATCATTTTTTCCAGGAAAGAATCTTGTCGGTAAGGGCAAATATTTGGATCAAAGTACAGTTTCTGAAAACAAGATTCTTGAAGTTTCCCAGGGAAAGCAAAAACATTCTTCTAAAGATGCAGGCAGCAAATGGGCTAGTGTATTTCAAAAGATAACCGGGAAATCACAAACTGAGTTCAAAAGTGTGGATCCGCTTGATGGAAAATCTAATACAGTGCACATTGACGATCTCTCTGATATATGGGACATTGAACTGCTAAGGCAGGGTCCTGATGGCATATCAAAAGATATGTCTTGTCTGCTACATCTGTTTTGCGCTAGCTATTCACACATGTTGTTAGTTCTTGATGACCTAGAGTTTTATGAGAAACAGGTCAGATTTCTTTATTACTTTAATATTTCATGCAATATTTGATATTCCAATGTCTTCGGCATGATATTAATAACACCTGAAAGTGAGAGTTGCATGAATGTAGGTTCCTTTTACACTGGAACGGCAGCAGAAAATTGTGTCGGTGCTGAACACATTGGTTTACAATACAATGTCCCACGGTATTGGTCCAAAAAGTAGACTTTTGACAGATTCTGCTATTAAATGCCTTCATTTATTATATGAAAGGGATTGCAGGCACCAATTTTGCCCTCCTACTTTGTGGCTTTCTCCGGGTAGAAATAATCGGCCGCCCATTGCTGTAGCTGCTAGGACTCATGAAGTTTTATCAGCTACTTCAAATGTTGATGATGCCTCAACCTCTTTGAGCATGGGCTCCATCATTACTGTTATCCCACACATCTTTCCATTTGAAGAAAGGTAGTTTTGACCTGAAAAGCTCATCATTAGCTGTAATAATTCGTCATTTATTTACCTTTAAGTTTATTATGGCACTTTTAACTCCTAGAGCGTACCCAAATGCTTCTTTCCCATGCTTGACATTGGCAGAGGGTAGAGGTTTTCCTCTGCAACTCAGCTGTACCTTTCAGCTTTGTTAGTTCTGGAGAATTACTTAAAATTCATATCTATTTGTTCATATTTTTGTTGTACTCTTCCTCTTCCACCTTAAGATATATAGTAATTGACCAAATTGTCATACTTGCTACTGACTCCACGGAAGATCATTCCTTAGCTTGCTGTACTTGTGGATTTATCACATATCATCAACTACGCCTCAATTTTAACTTAGATGGGGTCAAATATATGAATCCTCTTTATTCACTGTGTGTTATTCAGGTTTATTTCATTACGACGAATACCAACTACAACTGACTCTCAAACCAGTTGGTGTCGGCTCTACGAATCCTCTACATCCATTCCCATCCTTTATGGCCATTTTATTCCTTTACTAGATAATTAATCCTTTAGGAGAAATTAGGGATTCTCTAAAAGTAGGATTCTGTAAATCTCGCATATATCTTTACACTGTCATGCAAGACCCCTTTCAAATACAGATAACGTGAATGTGCCAATAATGACAGCATAATTCCAACTAGAGTATTACCTATAAGGATACTTTGCTTTCATTGTATTTCGTTCTTGGATAAGTTCACATGGATTTCATGAAGTATTGCAGGTCTTTTGAGATGACATTCTTCTATGTGATTTTTTAGGTCTGATTCCTTTTTAACACCTTGAATATGTTGTTCACAACTACGACCTGGTGCATTGAGGTCTACATATAACATGATCAAAATATCTCAAGTGACCTTTCTCACTCTTTCCTCTATATGTGCTACTTGCACCTTCTGTTCTATGTCATAATTTCTAATCTTGTATATTATTGTTTGACTATACATCCATCTTAATATTCTTAGGTGCCACTTGCACCTTCTGTTATATGTCATCATTTCTAATGTACATCCATCTTAAATTGTTGCCTTCGTTTCGGTTTTCTAATTGCACTACCTAGTGTTAGTTTTTTGTTTTCGCTTGGTTTTCTAATTGGTTTGCTTGTCATTGCCCCTTCCTTTTATCTTTCCTGAGCCGAGGGTCTACTGGAAACAACCTCTCTGCCTTTTTAAAGGTAGGGGTAAGGTCTGCGTACACACTACCCTCCCCAGATCCCACTTGTGCTAACACACTGGGTTTTTTTTGGTTGTTGTTGTACATCCATCTTAATATTCTGTTAGATCTCACAGTTATCCTATCCTGCACACACATACTTATCTCTAACTAGATAAGAAAAACTCCTGACAAAATAATGACCTCATATAAGTGTAACAACAAAAGCAACTAAGCTTTAATCACAATTTCTTGGTATCACCTATATGGGTCTATTGTGTTCCCTTATGTGGAAGGGAACTCTATAAGGCCTTTTGGGGGATATAAATATATCTCTTTGGACCATGATGGAATTTTTATAGTGATCATCATTTGCTGTAGGTATTTTCTCGATGCCGGGGTGAAGAAGCTAATAACACTAAGACCACCAAATTTGATTTGTGACTTTAGTTTCTTCCACTGCTGACTGCTATAGCCTTTTGCACATTGGAGTATAAAATTCCTATCATTAATCAAGGTAGTTCTGTCAGTCTTTCTGGTTGGATTTTTGTGGTCTAACCCTTCATCTAAGATGTTAATATATTACTCTCCTTTTTGTGTTGCCAATAAGGAACTTTATGAACTGGAAACTTCAAATGCTCCATCTTTTCAACATCTCAGTGGCATAAATATATATATGTAACATGGTTGTGTGGAAATTTTGAGTATTTCTTTAGTAACAAGGAATTGTACTTATTTTTGGTCCTCTGTGTATGCCGATGTTGCATATTGGCTCAAACAACTGAGGTTAGTCTCATAAGTCCAATGTAATTGTGAAAGATTGATTTTTTCTTTGATTTGTAGATAAAGAGATGTTAATTGTCCTACATTGGTGGAAGAAGCTGGTTGTCTCTTTATATGGTCTTGAACAATCCTCACCTCATGAGCTAGCTTTTGGGGTTGAGTAAGACCCAAGGTCCAGTTTTTATCATGGTATAGAGCCAGACCAATTCCTATCGTTGGGTTACTTAGTCTTGGGCCCCCATATTATGTTGTCCATGCTCCATATGTCCGGACGTGCTGGAAGTGTTTAGTGTCCTGCATTAGTGGAGAAAATGGGTTGGTCTCCTTATTTGGTCTTGGGAAATCCTCATCTCATGAGCTAGCTTTTGGAGTTGAGTTAATTTCTTAGGACTTAATGAATTCAAATGTGTAGTTCTTGCATCAAAGGTAGCTTCTTGGAATTGCACAAGCAACTGTTTCTTGTCTAGGAGTGCTCAAAATCATTTCTTGGTTCTTGACAGGGTTGAGATGTTCAGAGAATTCATCAACATGGATAAAGTATCAAGAAAAATGGCTGGTGAAGTTGTTGGACCTGGAGCACGTTCTGCAGAGATTGTAATTCGTCGTGGTCATATTGTTGAAGATGGATTTCAGCAGCTAAATAACTTAGGATCAAGGCTAAAGTCCAGCATTCACGTCTCTTTCGTGAATGAGTCTGGTCTTCCAGAGGCCGGCCTGGACTATGGTGGGTTGTCCAAGGAATTTTTGACAGAAATAGCCAAAGCAGCTTTCTCACCTGAGTGAGTTGCCTGTGCTTATGTAGTTATCCAGTTAGCCATCTCATTCTTTTCTCTCTGAAATGACTGGAGGTCTTTGTAATTGGCTCTATTTTGTAAGGTACGGGCTGTTCACACAGACCACAACCTCAGATAGACATCTTATTCCTAATACAGCTGCAAGATTTGTGGACAATGGAATTCAGATGATCGAGTTTCTTGGGAGAATTGTAGGCAAAGCACTTTATGAAGGAATATTGCTAGATTATTCCTTTTCTCATGTTTTTGTGCAAAAGCTGTTGGGCCGCTATAGCTTTATTGATGAATTATCTACACTTGATCCTGAGCTATACAGGAATCTGATGTATGTTAAGGTAAATTCTTCTATTCACTTCTAGAAAGTTCTGGTAAGAGTTACAGATGATATCTAGTAAAAGACTAGCAAAAGATAGTAACTAATTACTCCTTGTGATACTCACTTTGATGTGTTCTAGAAGAGCTCTGGAAGGTGCAGGAAACTCCATCACCAAAACCAGCACTGATAGAAAAACAGATGTTTCTATTTGCATTTAACAGAATGTTCAAAAAACTCTTTAATCCCTTTAATCTCTACTATATTTAAGTGGATATAGTTCAAAAAAGTGTTTATACTAATCTATGTTTCTATTGAGACTTCTTTCCTAAACACCCTCTTATTTTATTTTTTCTGAAATATTGCTTGTGAAAGAAAAAAAACAAATACGTAAAACATCTATGGAATTCATAATTATTCAGTTCCTGTATATGCTGAAATGTGAAAAGTGATTGGTCATTGAGGAGATTTAGCTTAGGGCTGAGAAGTAAGTAGACTCCAACACTCATTTCCAATTTCTTTTGCGTTTAAGTGCCTTTCAGCGTTTAAAAGGCTCATTCTTCTTTCCTGTTAAATACTCAAATGTATCAAAGCACGTAGAGATTTTCGATTTGAATTTCACCATCACTCATAGAAAATATTTACATGTGTTTGGCGAAAGAAAAAGAAGTAAGCCTGCATGTGATGAATGTGTTGCAGACCTAAAATAAATTAAATAAAAGTACCCATTTGTAACTGTTTAAACCTTCTTTACTTTGATACTGTATTGATGAAGAAATAGGATTCAAAAAAAGTTGTTGTATAAAAAAAGAATTGTTACCAGAAATGTGATAGGAAGCTCCTTAGTTAATGACCTAAGGTTGAAGAGCGGAGGACTCGACAACACAAGAAACAGGATTACTGATTTAAGTAGCATGTAATACTTGTGGAGAAGACTGTTAGTGTTTGAAACTGAAGGAACTTAGTGTAAACTGCCATGTAAGCTCTATTGTTTGAATTAGTGGATTTCATGTCTTTAAGGATTACATAAAGATGTCGCTAGAAATGTTGCAAATATAATCTGGTTATCAGAAAATTATAACAGTTGCTTAAAATTGTACCGGAAATAATTGGAAAGAGGCGACAACGGGAATTGTAACCGGAAAGAGGCGTGGTGCTTCCAGAACACTCCTCGAATGAGGCATTGGAATTTAACAAAAAGATGGAAGATCGCTGAAAAGATGCATGGTGCTGCTGGAACTTTTGTGGGAAATAAGAGGGCTGCAGTCAGTGGCGGAGCCAGGATCTTCACGAAGGGGGTTCAAAAATTTTTTTTTGTAGCTAGCGGGTATTGAACCCATGACCTTATGTAGACTTTGAACCCCCTTGACCACTAAACCACACTTTTGGATTGTGTTAAGGGTGTTCAAAACTTAATATATAGAGGTAAAAAACAGATTTTGCCTTATACAGTGTAATTTTTCGGCTAAGGGTGTTCGGGTGAACACCCTTGCGCCCCCCTAAATCCGCCCCTGGCTGCAGTCATAGCAGATGTTATGTAGGTCTCTTTTGAGATTGTAAAGGCTCTGATAATATGTGAAAACAAGAAAATAAATGTATTAGTGATTTGATTAATATGGAATATAGACACACCTACTTATAAGTATACTAATGATAGTCTTGTAATGAGGGACAGTATCTAACATAACCAACTATTCAGCAACACCAAACCTCCATATTCATATCCATATCCAATTTTTATGGAAGTATGGAACTATGCATAAGACTTATACTTTGTTTCTCTCTATGCAGCACTATGATGGTGATATCAAGGACCTCGCATTGGATTTTACAGTTACTGAAGAATCATTAGGGAAACACCTTGTCATTGAGCTTAAACCTGGTGGGAAGGATATTTCTGTAACAAAAGAGAACATGCTGCAATATGTTCATGCAATGGCAGATTTTAAACTTAATCGGCAGGTCTGGATATTTGTGCTCCAGCATTGAGATGCCCATTTCTCTGGTATTAGTGACTTATTGTTTCCAGCACGCAATTGCAGATACTTCCTTTCTCAAATGCATTTTATAGAGGATTGTCGGACCTTATATCGCCTTCCTGGTTAAAGTTGTTTAATGCAAGTGAATTTAATCAGGTAATTACCTCTGCGCATATCTTAGCAGAACTTCATTTTCAGTTTTAGTAGCTTTTTGTACAATTTTCATGCCCTTTTGTTCACCCCTTCCACATTTATTATAGCACCGAGTTTTGAACCTTGCGCCACTTTTCTCGATTATCAAAAAAAATATTCAAAGAATTTCATTGTATTCCTCATGCTGTATGAGATTCTACTATCAACTGACCTCTCCTTGTTCTTTCAATACTAGTTTTGGGCTCATCCATTTAACGAGGATTGGTTTGTCATGCTTGTAAATGCCAAATGCATCGGCCACGCCTCTGCTAATTTTGTTTTTTCTTTTTCTTTATCTTATCTGGTTCTCTACATTTCTCTAATAATTGAGGAAGTTATGTGACATGACATACAGACCATAGAATGAAAGGCATAAACAAACTACGTTGAATGCATATGCTTTGTTGAAAGCCACATGTGCCACAAAAGCTTTCCTTTGCTGGACTGCATGCTTCTGTGTCAGCTAATCCAAAGTGTATATCCAGTTGCTTTCAGGAGGAAACCATGATATTGACATTGATGATTTAAGGAAAAACACACGCTATACTGGAGGTTACTCAGAAGGGAGTCGGACAGTTAAACTCTTTTGGGAGGTAGACATGAATTTTCCCTCTCCTCTTTTTTCTTGTTATTTTATGAAACTACAAACGTGATCTAGATCAGTTGAATTTTCCCTCTCCTCCTCTTCTTTCTTGTTATCTTATGAAACTACAAATGTGATTTCCATCAGTCTACTTGAACCATCTCATCTGAACATCTCTCAACATTAAGGAACTTGGTCTAAGCAGAGATCTTTTATTATTTTGTATTATCTAACCATATGTATGTGTTTGCTAGTGTTAAAGTGGGAGAATAAATTATTAAAGACAATTGGGCATTTGATAACTAATTGTTCTTGTGGTTCAGGTATTTTCGAATTTTGAACCAAGAGAACGGTGTTTGCTGCTTAAGTTTGTGACAAGTTGTTCGCGAGCTCCTTTGCTTGGATTCAAACATCTGCAGCCAACCTTCACTATTCACAAGGTATGAGCCTACTAACTACCCCCCCCCCCCCCCCAAACCCCCAAAAAAAAAAAAATCACCCAGCACCCATGACGATGATAAACAGATAATGAGTTTAAAACTGAGAATTTTATTATAGACAATGCTAATTCAAAATGGTCAACTGATGATGGTGAAAGTATAACAAGGGGCCAAAGGTGTTGAGAGTTAAACTAGCGACAGAACTCGGAAATAGGAGGGCAAGCAAAGTATCTATTGGCAGGTGAACTGGTGTGAAATTATTGGTTAACTGGCTCCTGTGCTTCATTTGGATGGAAAATGCAGGAAAGATGATTTTTATTTGTTTTATATCTTCTTGTAACAAATTCCTGCAAAATCCTGGTAAAGAAACAGTAATCTGGGGCCAACTAGCAGATGTTTTCTTCTTCATACAGAGAGACTGAAAATTTGTGTGGAAGTGAGCAGGACCTAAGTCTCCTAATAGAGTTTAAACTAACGTGCTAGTGCTGGGATAACTTCCTCCTGTAAGCCACTGGCCGATAAGGATCACAGCTTCAGAGTACATCGTCAGATATGTGGTGGATTTTAGATACACTCAGTATCTTGTGCTTTATGGAAGCTGAAAGGAGGCAGTCTTGATTTTGGTTGAATTGTAGGCAGTAGACCGTGAGAACGGAGAAATGCCTGTACTTTTTCGGATGGATACTATCTATCGTTGTTATGCTTCTCAGTTTGCTTCAATGATATGAGGAATGTGATGCAGAGAAAACTCTTGTACATTGTCCCTTCTAATTAAAACAAACTAAAACTAATCAGAGAAGCCCCTTCCTAAAAAGAAACCTAATTTTATGAAGTAAGCAAATTAAAGACGGAAACAAATACTTCACTTGATCTGGGCCACATTATGTATCATGCAGACATGCACTTCTGTTTAAATCAACATTTGGCAAAACCTTTCTTTTCTCTTTAATTTTCTATGCAAAACAACTTAATCAATTAACATATTTTACAACAACAACAATCCAGTGAAATCCCACAAGTGGGGTTTGGGGAGGGTAAAGTATGCGCAGACCTTACCCCTACCTTAATCAATTAACATATTTTATTAACTATAATGAGAGGAACATTTTCATTAACTTTCTGGCATTTATCTTTATCATGTACTTGTTCTCGTGTGTGAGTTTGCAATTGTGGTTCCTCATACACTCTTCGTTGATAAATAACATACTGTTCATGCTTCACCTCTTCCCTGTAATCACTCAACACCAGCATCGTTAAGAATCTAACACTTCTGGCTAGCGAATGTTTGTTGCACTTCCTTATTCCCTCTCCTGCTTTCACCTTCCCTTCTCTATGTTCTAAAGGCCTGTTTTGACCTTGCTCTTTTTCATTCTAGGAAGAGGGGGGAGATGAACATTGAAACAAAAGAAATACAAAAAAGTATCAAAAGAAAGGGAAGGGGAAATTAGAGAAAACGCACATACCGATAGTTTTAATGGAATACCTTGATTACCAGCGCTTAATAGTAATGAAATTTCGTAAATATAGGTTTCATGTGATTTGCCACTATTGGCGACATTCGGGGGACAGGATGTTGATCGGCTTCCTTCAGCTTCTACTTGCTACAACACTCTCAAGGTACAATATCTTTGATTATTCTACGTTAACTTTGAGGTATCAAATGCACCAAATCCAACTCATATAGTCAAATGGAAAATCAAATTAGCTTTCAACAATAGGACCTCTTTCTGTCAAACATACTGCAATATGTCCTTTTTCTTCTGCCTTTGACAGCTTCCGACATACAAACGCCAGAATACGTTGAGAGCAAAGCTTCTATATGCTATCAATTCCAATGCTGGATTCGAGCTTTCATAGTTGTTGATCAGGTAAAGTGGTTCTCTTTGTTTGTAAACACAAAAGCTAGTAGAAGATTACCCCCATCAAAAAGAAGAAAAAAAGAAGCTACATACCAGAAGTTTAAAATTTTTTGCCTTTTTTTTTGTCTCCTTTTTTTTTTGTGCGACTAAAATGGAATACTTAGTGAACTTACTTTATATGAGTCTTCCTTTTTTTTTATTCTGGGTAGGCAATCAAGTAGAATATATAGAGTTGAATAGAGCTCGTCTCATGGGATAACTCAAAAGACTTAAATAGAACTGTTGTTTCTGCTGACTTTTATGTGACAATGATGGTACATCAAATACTGAAAACATATTCCCAAGCTGGGAAGGTTGTCAGATGTGTGATACTTAGCTGTAACTGCTTTCATACGAGATATACTATAGCTTGAATGAACTAAGACCAACATAAAGCCTCTTTCAAGTCGGAAAGTAACTATAAAACAATATCATGGAAGGGGTGAACTACAAAGTAGACGGTTTCTGCAGCTTTGAGGCTTTAAGAGATGAGCTCAAAGCCCTGTTCCAACAGACTTTGAGCCAATTTCTCATTTGCTGTTTCTGAGGGATGAAATCCATCCCAGAAGACATAATTTGTAGCATTGGAGCATGTTCCAATGGACCTGGCATTACAAAGGAACGATGTTTCTATCATACCTGTCCCGCAACAAGCCTTCCTTGATTCAAAAAATCCTGGAAAAGAGGAAGATTATTAGAGGAAATTGTGATAAAGTGTCCTCTTTGATTCCAAAAGATAGTTAATCGTGACCCCCCCCCCCCCCCCCCTCTCCCTTGCGGCTCCCTTCTTGTGCGGAAAAGGTGGTCTTTCCTAATTTTCCTCTGTGATTTTACAATGCTGTAAGAAATTTCCATTGCTTCCTTTTGTCAAATTTCAAGCTCCTTTATTATGTAAACGAGACACGACTTCCTGTTCCTTTTTTGTTGTTGAACAATAAAATTCTGTGTTACGTGTTTGTGCTTTCCAAAACTTTTGAAGGTTGGCCGAGTTTGAGAAAAGAAAGGAAAAGGAGAAGGGAGAAAAAGTTCCAGCACATACCATTCTCTACAGGTTTTGTGATCAGATCAAAGAGAGGCTGATAGATGTCGAAGACTACGAGCTTGATGCCAGGAAGCTTGCTCTTTAGATTTTGAGATGTCCTGTTGAGCTTATTGTTGAAGGAGATTGCATCTTTGTTCAGTCTTGCAACGCAGTGGTTGGTTCCTGCACCGAACAAAGTAATGGCAGCTGGCAAACAACCAGTTGGTGGCAGAGTTGTGACCCCAATCTTCCTTGCTCCTAAACCGTAGAGGTTCTGTCCATAGATCACTGCTGATATTATATTGAGGACTGGCTTGTATATAATATAACAATTTACGTATGATATTTTTTAGTTCGTATGTTAAGTACAGCTTGATCTGATTTCTTGATGTGGCTTAGTATTTTGGGAGTACAGATTGTGATAGTGTCCAGCTTATTTTTTCAGGGTAAGTCTACCTGGTGCTCAAGTGTATGTCATCCATGTTCATCCTGTAACAGTCTTTCGGTATTTGCTAAGTGCTTGTTATTATTCAAGCATGGGCAAGCTTGCTCCTATTTGTCAAATGGGAGTTGGAACTTAAATTTATTCTACAGGGCTCTTACCACCGTACCAAAATACTAGGAGATTCTATTTTAATGGTGTGGCCAAATGAGCTTGAGTTAAGACATTATAGTAGGTTGGTTCGAAATGCATTTGCATTTGACAATGCTCTTATGGGAAAGGGTTATGGCTAGAAATTCCATGCAGGTTACCCGGATATTTGAATCAATAGTTCACGGATACAATGAAAGCGCTAACAATTAGTACACAGATGAGGAAGTCAGACCTGAACAAATGTAGAGTATGACTGCATGAGGATATCGGAGAACTGATCAGGTGAGTAGACTCTGTTGAGTAGTGGATTTATATAGTAGTTTTGAATAAAGTCACTGCTCCCTGCACTTATAAGATGTATACTTCCTGAGAATATGTTATTAGCCTTGGCCCTCCCTACCAGATTCACTACTTTCCTTTGCCACACCCTGTAATATTTTAGTTGATGTGGCAACGTTAGAGCACGCTGCAAAAACCATGACATTTCCAAGTTAGTCATACTCAACAGTCCACAGATTTCTATTCTCATGCATACAGTTTAATACTTACATATAGTTTAGCAGTCCTGTCATAATAACCGGAAGAAGCAGAGGCAAAGTTGACGCCAGTCAGAATTCTGTTCCCTCTAGCTTCTCGGCTCAGGTAAGCTGGTGGGTACGAAGTGAACCCAAGATACTCAGCTGTAGATTAGGACATGCATGTGTGAGAAACAACGGAGGACTTTTACCTTTTTTTGGTGGGTTTTTTTTTTTTTTTGGGGGGGGG